CTTGGCTGTGCATTAGGACTCATCCTTGTTGAGATTTAATGCGTAATTTAGGACTGCGTGAATATAACTGTAAAGAGTATCTAGATCCGTATTTATTTAATAAGATAGAATCAGGTTTCAGTATCATCTGAGTGAGTCAGAATCTATCATTTTGAATGTATTTAGCAATGGCATAATTATTTGCTTACTTAAATAATGATCAATTTAGTCTATCGATTTACGCCACATTATTGCCTAGATACGTGTTAAGACTTCTCTAAGTCGAAATTTAATGTATACTTCAGGACTGAACGAAGGCAACTAAAAAGAACATCTAGATCCTGAATTCCTCAAGATTATATGATATCATATCACCTAAATGAAATAGAATCTATTTGAACGTATTTAAGAATGGCATAAGTATTTTATTACTTTTTCATTTAGTTAATGATCAATTTAGTCTATCAATTTACTCCATGTTATTTCCCAGTTGTGTATTAAGACTCCTCCACGTCGAGATTTCCATGTATATTTTAGGTTTGCGCGAAGGCAACTGTTAAGAGTGTCTAGATCCATACTTGCTTAATAACATGAAATCAAGTTTCTGTATCATCTAAGTCAATCAAAATCTATCTATTTTGAATATATTTGATAATGGTAAATCTATTCACTTACTCTATCATTTGATGGTCAATTTAGTCTATCAATTTACGTCATATTATTGTCTAGTTGTGTATTAAGACTTGCTCTTTTCGAGATTTAATATATATACTTTAGGATTCCATTAAAGCAATTATTAAAACTATCTAGATTCATATTTCCATTATAACATGGAAATCAAGATTTAGTAATATCTAATTAAATTAAGAATTTTTCATTTTGAACGTTTTAAGCAATGGTAAAACCATTCACTACCTTTGCCACTTAATGATGAATTTACTCTATCAACTTCCGTGACACAATTTATTGGTTGTCTATTCATTTATGTGGCAAAATTTGACGATCATTCGATTGCAAGAAGCAGCTCATGTTGATAAAGTGTATAATATCGAGATTTAAATTATCCATTGTCCATATTTACTTAATAACATGTAGAAACCAAGTTTCAGATCATCGAAATAGATCTATGTTCAACGTATTCAGCTATAGTCTATCTATACTCTTACTCACTTTGTCAACTCGCAATCAAGTTACTTGTATCAATTTAAGCCATGTTATTTCCTACTTTTGCATTCAGTTATGTAGCGTAATTTAATGGCCTTTTGAACGTAAGAATAAATAGTTCGAGTGGGTAAAATCCGTCCCAAATCTTGTCCTTATCTAGATTTTAGCTGTCGTATAGTTGTACTTTAAGACTGTAAGAAGAAATCCGCATAGAATATTCAGATCCCTTTAGACTTCATAACATGGTAATTAAGTTTTTAGTATCGTTAAAATCAACCGGATTTCACTCATTTAAAATGTAATTAATCATATTGATCAGCAACACGTCTTATCATCTGCTGTATTAAACACTTACTCTATCCATTTTAAGACATGCTAATTCCTAATGTTGAGCGAAAACTTGTCCATATCGGAATTTAAATTATACGCAGGACCTCATGAAACAACTACAAAGAGTATCTAGATCCATACTGACTGAATAACTTGAAAAATCAAATCTCATTATCTTCCAAATGAACCAGAATGTATCCAAAATGTATTTAACCATAATGTATAAACTATATTTATTTACTTTGTCATTGAATGACCTATTTACCACATTGTAACCATTTCAGCCGTGTAATTTTCTAGCTATGGATTCAATTATATGATGTAGTTAGACGACAATTTATTATTTATTTCCTGCCCATAATATATTTGTAGGCTTATTTAAACATTGCTATAATGACTCTGTATCAAACAGTCGTTCACGTCCAAGTTATTCTTAATTTTGAAATGAATTAAGTTAGCTTAACTTTATTATCCTTACTCGCAGTAAATATTGAAGTACGCGTATTTTTACTGAAGACCCATTGTGATTCTTTTAGAACTATTACATTTTCTGACATCACTCTCAAATAAACTAGTTAGAAACTTATGAAAGTATAAATAAGAAACGTATTAAAGTCTTAAAAAGTTGAGTTAATTACTGATTTGCCACTGTATAATTTCATAATTACCAATATGCCATCGCAACTTTCAGTATTTTACTAATATGCGATTATATAGTCATGTCACGGTCTACGTACTCTCAGTCCATACTTATCACCATTTTTACCCTAATTTACACTACTGTTGTACTGCCCTAACTGCGAGAATTGCATTCTGCACTCGTTTCCTTAAGCATCGTTACCAGAAATAACTCGCCACGTTACCATGTAAGTTACAATGCTTAGCATTACGCCGCTTTCCAACAGCGGTGCGGCAGTCATGGTCTTTGTAGAAAGACTTTACCACCCATGGATCTCCTTCTTTCTTGGGATTTAAACGCCAGCGACACCCTCCTTCCTTCTTACATTCTAACACAATAATCTATATCGATTGAATGAGCAGAAACCATAGAAACTGAGCGAGGGTAGTCCCTTTCTGAATGCACGAAGCACGGGCAGCCATTTAGCCACGTCTGCAAGGAGAAAAACCTATTGAAAAGATTAAGCAGAAAGCTGTAATAAATTCTAAGAAATAGCTAGAAAATCATATAGCTTAAAGAAAACACTTAAGAGTCTCTTCAAAGACGAAAATTCAAACAGATACTGACATTCAACTACTTTTCCAGATCGCTATAAGCTAATCTATAGGTTTATTTAAATAATAAATGGCGCTGATAGTTGTATTCAGCCGTGGCATGGATTTTATTCTAGCTTAATTGCGGTTGATTGCCGAATTTTAAGTCTTGACCAATATATAAATCGTTTTACCGGTTAATTTTCTATATTAAGCGGATTGAAAGGCTTATCGATAATTAGTTTGATGACACTATGAAAGCCAGTGACTAAAATACCGATAAAGCTATTTGTAGAAGACGAAGACAGTTGCTGTTTATTTCGTTACGAAGGTAATTCCAGCCTTTCGACACTTTAGCGTCATTTTATTGTGAGCTTCTGTAGTTCAAGACAGCTAGTTTTGCTTTATTGTGCTAGCAATTATATTTAACTCACTTTTCAGTATTTAGAAAGATATTTTTGAAAACGTTTAATCCATCGTGGCTCGGTCATTATCTAAGCCTGATTGTATAAATTAAAAAGGATCTCAGTTTAGAGGCAATCCTTATTGTTGCTTCTTTTGATGAAATATGGTGAAATGATTGTTAGGAAACAAATCTTCAATAATGAATCATCATGGCTAGGAAAAATTTTAAAATAATTTTGCGATACTGCTGTATAGTTCTAACTTTGTACACATTAATTTATTTTATATACCCTACTGAAACGCCGGTTATGCTTTTAAAGCATATTATTAAAGGCGTTAATAAACGCGTTAAGGATTCTCGAAATGAAACGATAAAGACATCTACAGTTATGACAGCAAAACCGTTAAGAGTTATAAGGATACTCTATTGGACTGGTTTGTTTTTTAATAGTTGGCCAGAACCTCTTGGTTATCATTCTTGCGGATTATCGTCGGTGCAGTGCCATTTTACTAGTGATAGAAATTATTATTCTAGTGCTGATGCTGTATTATTCCATGGAAACGATATAAACATTTTACAAGATACGGATAGCTTACCCAATAATACTGTAAAGCCTCCGTTTCAGCGATGGATTTATTATACTTTGGAGAGTCCTCTGAGTTTGAAACTAGATCAAAAACCGTTACTAAAAGAATTTTTCAATAATACATTCGATTGGATCATGAATTACATGAAAGAAGTAGATCTTCCTTCGCCTTATGGCTATGTTACTCGTGGCCGGTATCACAATGGATTTTCACCCAACATTAGATATGCTGCAAATAGACCCAGAATGATTGCCATTATAGCCAGTGTGTGT